AGGAGGCTGTCCCCACGCTCTGCTCTGTGCTCTGTGCTCCTTCCTCCTCGGGGAGTCTCAGCCTCCCCTGCAGCATGGATGGCCTTGGGGGAGAAGTGACCCTGACACCCCCTCAGGTCACCCCCTCCTCCCGTGGGCCCCAGTGTAGCCTCAGACAGTGTGGGCTGTGTGGGCAGCTCCAGCCCTGGCATTGTGTCTGGGAGGGAGGGGCCGTGGGGCCAGGCTGCCCTCGACAGTGGTGAGAGAGAAGGCCCCGTGCTTGGGGGACAGACAGCGGCCTCGTCCGGGCCTGACTGACCAGGCACACGTCGCCCAGCACCCTCTTTCTCCTTGGCCGCATTTAGTTGCACTCGCGCCGAATGCAGGCCCGGCTGGCACCCAGGGGCCCAGCAGGCCCCCTGCCAGCGAGGCAGGGGTCAGACTCCAGCCCCGTTTTCCCACGGTGTTCCTGTTCCAAGGCTCGTCGGTGACGGGCCTGCGGCTGCGGGGGTCCCAGCCGAGGGGCCGGGGCCTGCACCCTGCCGTCCCTTGCTCTCCTCGCTCCCTCCTTCTGGTGGCGGGGAGGCAGGGCTTTGCGCTCGCTCCCTGCGGCCTTGCCCCGGAGCTCAGCCACTCGGTCAGCTGCCCTCTCCCGGTCTGCTCCGCCCGCCCCAAGCCCAGGCACCACGTGGCCTGGGGAGTCCCAGGGAGGCCCGGGCAGGGCGGGACCGGACCAGCCCCAGGATTAATCCGGGAAGGAGACCCTCCCTGCCACAGGGGGCTGCCTGCTGTTTTGTTTTAGGAAAATAATATATCATTATGAAACATCTCAAAGACATTGCCAAGTGAAGATAGCTTAGTCCTGGGTAAGTTTTGACATCGTAACTGTGTAGGTGGTTTTGAGTTTTTTGAGAAACTCCTGGACCGGAGGGCTTGAGCGTGGATGCCACGGTCGTGCCCTGGGTGCAGGCAGGCCTCCCGGGCCCGTGCTGGGTGCTGGGGAGGCCTTAGGCCCTGCGCGTCTCCTCGAGGACAGCGGTGACACGGGGACCTGGGCTGAATGTGCAGATTCACCGTGACCGCAGGCCGGAGCAGGTGCTGCGCGTTCCGGAATGCCGGGCATGGCCAGATTCTCTGGGGACACTCAGACTGGCGGGCGGCCACGCCTGTCCCTTGTTCAGTGTCTGAGACACGAGGAATGGCCCAGGAGACAGGCAGGGCGGACGGAAGACAGTGAACAACTGTGCACGAGGGCCCGGGGTGGCCTCCGTGCTCACCCACCAACCCGAGGACGCTGTGCGCCTGATGGCTGACCCGCCACGCCGCGTGTGTGACGGGCACCACATGTGTGACAGGTACCGTGTGTGTGACAGGCACCATGTGGGTGATGGGCACCGTGTCATTCGGGCCACACTGCCAGGCATATGTGTGCATGTGTGTGTGCGTGCACATGTGTGTGTGTGCATGTGTGCGTGCATGTGCACGTGCAGTGTGTGCATGCTCACATGCGTGCATACATGTGTATTGTGTGCATGTGTGTATGCATTGTGTGTGTGCGTGTGTTGTGTGCACCTATGTGCGTGTGTGTGTGCGTGCGTGTGTATGCATGTGTGCATGTGCCTGTGCACGCGCAGTGTGTGTGCATGCTCGTGTGTGCATGCACGCGTATTATGTGTGCATGCGTGTATGCATTGTGTGTGTGCATGTATGTGTGCACGTGTTGTGCATGCAGGTGCGTGCATGTGTGCATGCATCATGTGTGCATGTGTGCACATGCATGCATTGTGCGTGTGCATTGTGCGCATGCATGCATGTGTTGTGTGTGCCTGTGCGCACATGCAGCATGTGTACATGCTTGCATGCGTGCATGCATGCGTATTATGTGTGCATGCATGTATGCATGTGCGTGTGTTGTGCGTGCCTGAGTGGGCACAGTGTGTGCATGTGTGTTTATGCGTGTGTGAATGTGTGCACACATGCATGTATGTGAATGTGCGTATTTTGTGTGCATGTGTGTGCATACGTTGTGTGTGCATGTATGTGTGCATTACATGCTTGCATGCGTGCATGCATGCGTATTATGTGTGCATGCATGTATGCATGTGCGTGTGTTGTGCGTGCCTGAGTGTGCACAGTGTGTGCATGTGTGTTTATGCGTGTGTGAATGTGTGCACACATGCATGTATGTGAATGTGCGTATTTTGTGTGCACGTGTGTGCATGCGTTGTGTGTGCATGTATGTGTGTGCATTGTGTTTGCATGTGTGTGCCTGCATGTATGTATTGTGTGTGCATGTGCACGTGCGTGTGCATGTGCGTGCGTGTGTTGTGCATGTGTGTTGTGCATACATGCGTGTGTGCATGTGTGTATGCATTATGTGCGTGCATGTGTGCATGTGTGTGCATGTGTGCGCAGTGTGTATGGGGGGCGGTGAAGTGACATAAATAGGAGACTCAAGAGCTGAGACCGTGGGGACTAGGTGACTGGCCAGGTGAGAGCAGGTGACAGCAGAGAGAGCAGACGGCCCTCCCGCCAGCTGCCCCGTCCCCGTGGCAGACTGCAGGGCCGCCCTGATTTTGAAGTGGCCTTGGCTGTGTCCCCTGTAAATGCCCGAACACATGGCCATTCTTTTAGCTAGGTTAAAGGGACTCGCCGGGATGGCCGGTGGCCTGGGTGCTGCCATGGAGCCTCACCGGCCCTCGCCGCCGGTCCTCGCTGTGGGACCGCAGTGACGTGACTGTGGGCGGGGGCGGGGCTGTCACGTCCTCCCCCGGTCCCTTCGTGCTTCTCCCTGACGTGTCTGTGGGGTCCTTGGAGGACTGGGAAGGTCGCTTCTGCTGCGCTGCCTCCGGGGCGTTGGCGGGTCAGCGGGCCCCCTGCAGGTTGGTGGTGGGCCCCCCGGCACATGGGCTCGGGTCACAGGCGGCCACCCCAGGGAGCGAGGGCCCGGGCGTCCCACCCGTCCAGGGGAGCGGGGACTGCGGGAAGGAGGAATCAAAGTGGGAGCTGCAGGGGAAAGGTCAGCCCGGTCTCGTCCTGCGTGGTCCGTCTTCCTGCAGAGCCCACACTCGAGGAAGAGCAGGAAAGCCATGTGACTCGATGTGCATTTGTCCCCTGAGCTGGGGTCCGACGTGGAGCAGAGGAGACTTGGGGGTGTTGGGCTGGAAGGGGCCAGCCGCAGTCGGGGTGCAGAGCCAAGCCCGGGAGCGGGGACGCGGACTCTGTTCTCATTCCAGGCTCCTTCTGGGAGGTCCCTGTCCTGGGATCCCAGGGTGGGGAGGTCTTCAGTGACGCTGTGACTGACAACCTGCCTCCTGCAGGGTTGTCCCCGAGTCCCCTGATCCTGACGCCTGTCCTTCCTTCCCCGCAGGGACCTGGGCCGAGGCCTCAGCACTGCAGCATGGACCTGCCCGAGCCCGCTGCACGAGGTAAGGACTCCTCGGCGGGCGCCCTGTGGGGGTGGCCCTCCCCGGAGCCCCTGACCGCCGTGTGGGCCGCACAGAGGTGGGTGTGGTGCGGCCCGGGGGGCGGAGCTCTGGTGCTCTCCCCTGGGGCGTCCTGGCCGGTGGCCGCCCCATGTGGACCGAGCTGGGCTCCCTGCGGCCCCCCTCTTCCCTGAGGCCTCTCCAGGCCCCGATAGGCTGGGCAGCGTCCATGCCGCGTCCTCCTTCGGTTGGGCTCGCCCAGGGCCAGCAGGCCGTGTCCAGCTGCCAGGCCCATGGGGGCTGCGAGGCCGGGGCCCACACTTTCTTTTCCTCTGCCTCCCTCTTTGCTGGAGGGACCAAGATTGGGCAAGTCCCCAGGCACCCCCAGTGGACACGGTGCTCCCAGCCCTCAGAGCCCAGGGTCTCCGGTCCCCCAGGGGTCGGCTGGGCCACACGTGTGCAGGATGGCCAGGCACCAAGCTGGGGACGGGACCACGGTGCATGGACACGTTCGTCCTGGCGCATGTGGCCTGCGGGAGACCCGCGGGCTCTGTCCCCGTTCTGCCGGTCACCAGTGCTGCTCTGGCCTCGCTCCTGTGCCCTTCGCAGCTGCGGCCTCGGTACAGACATGGCCGGGCCCTCGCCTCGGTGCAGACACGGCCGGGCCCTCGCCAGCAGAGGCGCGGTGCACTCTGTCGCGGCCGTCACCTTATCGTGGTGGCCGTCACCTTATCGTAGTGGCTGTGCAGCGTCTCCGCGGTCGGCCTGTGTTTGGAACAGGTGGAGGGTCAGGCTGTTCGCTCCTCAGGCAGATGGGGACGGGGACCGCAGTGGGTGATGGAGAGAGGGCAGAGCCCGGGGCGCGACTCCCAGAGACGGCGGGCGCTGGCTCGCAGTGAGAGGTTCCCGCACCGTGGACCAGGGTCCGTGGTGCGAGACAGATGCCAGCGGCCGCGTTTGGTGTCCCGGAGCTGCGGGACCTGGCTGAGCCTCGCGTCCCTCGGCACCTCTGTTCCCCGTCCGCTCACGTGCTGGGCCCGGCGCGGGGGGCCTGGGCCTGTTCTCGCGGTGGCTCTGGTCAGTGCAGAAGGCGCGGGCTTCGGGGTCTCCTCGGCTAGGTCCATCGTGATTGTTTTACTCGAGACTGAGACAGCGACTGACTGTTGCTCACCGTGTCACGTCCCTATCGAATGGCACGGGGGCCGTGTGTCCTTCCCCAAACCAGAGTGCTGTGCCCCGGACCGCTGCCCGCCAGCAGAGAGCTGACGTCCGAGGACGTGCGGGGAGCGGCTGACGCCAGTCTGCGTGCTCGGGGCACGCTGCGTGATGCCCGCCCTCCGTGTGACGCCTGCGGAGGGCCCGTGCCTGGGGGGTCGGCTCCGGGCCCTCAGCTCCGTTCCTGGGTCTGCGTGACCTTTGTGCTGCACTTGGCTCCGTACTGTGTGTCGATGTTGATTCATGAGCACGTGGTGGCCTAATGCAGGCAGCTGGCGGCGAGTGCAGGCACAGGAGGAGGCCAGCAGGAGGGGTGCGGACCCCCGGGGGTGGCCCGTG